ATATATATATATATATATATATATATATATATATATATATATATATATATATATATATATATATATATATATATATATATATATATATTGCAAGTTAAACTAAATTAAATAAGTTTTTTTTTTCCTGAAGAGAATATACAATGGAAAATACTGTGAAAAATGTTCTTGCTTTGTAAACATCAATTTATTAAATAGATTTAATCTGACCTAAAATACAGAAAAACCATGAATAATTACATATATTTCTTAAGGGGGATAATAATATTGACCTTAGTGGTTTTAAATGGATTTAAATATTATTTTTATTAAAATACAGACTAAAAGCAATAAGACTTTCTTCAGTGACTTTCTCCAGAAGAAAAATATAATGGGAAATACTGTGGAAAATGTCCTTGCTGTCTATTAAACATCACTTTATTAAATACATTTTGTCTAACCCAAAATACAGTACAAAAAACAATAGGATTATTTCTATTTCTTTAGGGGGGCTAATAATATTGACCTCAGCAGTTTTTGCATTGTTAAAACAAATGATGTTTCTATTTCAATACACACTAAAAAAATAAGACTTTCTCCAGATAAAGTGAGAAATACTATGAAAAATGCTATATTTAATCTGTCCAAAACGTTTTAAAATATTATTTCAGTTCAAAATGTCTGTTTTCTTGCTGAATATATTGTAAAATCTTATTTATTTCTGTGATTCAAAGCTGAATTTGCAGCATCATTACTCCAGTGTTCAGTGACTTTTCGTTTCACTTTTATGTTTTTTAACCTCAGGGTTTTGTCTAAAGTGTTTGTTTGTCTCTCGCTTTATCAGGGGGATCTGGGTGGCCAGCGGACCCTGCAGAAGAAGTGGACGTCGTTTCTGAAGGCCAAGCTGGTTTGCTCAATGCCGGAGCTGAACTTTGTCTTCAATGTGGTTCATGATGTGTTTATTTTAAAAGCCCCACACTGGAGAGACACCGTCATCTACGGGGTTTTCACTTCTCAGTGGTGAGAAATAGCGTGTGTGAGTGTGTGTGGTTACCCAAGCTTCCAAAAATATAGTGCAAAAGTGTTTTGCTAATGTTTCTGTTAAGCAGTGTTCTTTGTCAGATACAAGAAAATGTCAGTGGTGAGAATTTGTGAGTGTTTGTGTGTGCAAGTTATATGTATGCATGTGTGTAAGAGAGTGAGTGAATGAGTGAGCTGGTTCCAGCCTATAGAAAGGCAACAGTAACTCAAATAAGCACTCATTACAACCGAGCTCTGCAGAAGAGCATCTCTGAACACACAACACGTCCAACCTTGAGGCGGATGGGCTACAGCAGCAGAAGACCACACCGGGTGCCGCTCCTGTCAGCTAAGAACAGGAAACTGAGGCTACAATTCACACAGGCTCACCAAAACTGGACAATAGAAGATTGGAGAAACGTTGCCTGCTCTGATGAGTCTCCATTTCTGCTGACACATTCAGATGGTCGGGTCAGAATTTGACATCAACAACATGAAAGCATGGATCCATCCTGCCTTGTATCAACGGTTCAGGCTGGTGGTGGTGGTGTAATGGTGTGGGGGAGATTTTCTTGGCACACTTTAGGCCCATTAGTACCAATTGAGCATCATGTTAACACCACAGCCTACCTGAGTATTGCTGCTGACCATGTCCATCCCTTTATGAGCACAGTGTCTCCATCTTCTGATGGCTACTTCCAGCAGGATAACGCACCATGTCATAAAGTGTGAATCATCTCAGACTGGTTTCCTGAATATGACAATGAGTTCACTGTACTCAAATAGCCTCCACAGTCACCAGATCTCAATCCAATAGAGCACCTGTGGGATGTGGTGGAACGGAAGATTGGCATCATGAATGTGCAGCCAACAAATCTGCAGCAACTGTGTGATGCTATCATGTCAATATGAATCAAAATCTCTGAGGAATATTTGCAGTAACTTGCTGAATCTATGCCACAAAGGGTTAAGGCAGTTCAGCGCGCGTGTGTGTGTGTGTGTGTGTATCTATGCATGTGTGTGTGTGTAAATCACGGCTTAATTTGTGCAGAAACATGGTGATTCAGATCCGGAACCTCTGAAATTTCATCATTTTACCAATCCCCCTCCTCAGCCGCCCTCCTTCCCCGTCCACTGTTCACTTTCACTTTCTTCTGCGACTCCCTAACCCTCTTCACTTTCTTCCGAGACTCCCCAACCCCTCCGTTATCCTATGCCAACACGGGGAGAACATGCAAACTCCACACGGAAATCCCAACTGACTCCATCAGGACTCGAACCAGCGACTTTGTTGCTGTGTGGCCATAGTGCTACCCACTGCGTCACTTTGTCACCCAAGAAAGTCAACATAATATTTGAAAATATTATTATTATTATTAGGGGTGTCACATCGAAATCGATTTAAATTTATGCCCAATTTCGATTATCAAATCAAAAAATAGAATCGTTGATGCTGCCACGCCCCCATGTCACGTCAGCTTGGCTTGCCAAGCGGGAAAAAACAGGCTTGTTGAAGTGCTTGTTAAACTGCAGAAGCAGGAGACCCGTCGACAGAGCTTAAACCCTCTCCTCTTTCAATGAAGTCGCCGGTGTGGAAGCATTTTGGATTTCCAGTGAGTTATGTTGACAACGTTCGTGTTGTCGACAAAAAACACAGTTTTGCAAGCTCTGCTATGTACGTATTACGTACGGTTCGTCTAATAGACAACATCGGCATCGCAATCCTCCGCCCGCCCCCGTTGCAAATCCACTCGCGAAAAGTACACACTCAGGCCCTGTTTACACTGTCTTTGTTTTTAAATGGCATTTTAGAACGACAACGATTTGACATCCACAGTGGCGTGTAGCATTTCTGAGCAGCCCTCCATACTCTCTACCTCTGAAAATGCACATCACGTGACCACACAGACACAGACGCACACACACAGCCATGCGCTCGAGACAGCAGGTCCAGGCAGTCAGAGGTCTGCTTCAATCTTTCACTCACTTGTACTTAGTCATTTTAGCGAACACCTCAGATACTGTTGGCTGGTTCCTGTTGACTGTGCGTCTTTTTTACCGACGCCATTATAACGACACAGATCACTGCCTATTCACGAGTCCCGCAGAAAAAGGGATTGACAGGTGGTAATTATGTGTGTATCTTGCCTTTATTTATTTACTGTATGATTTGTTTATGGGTAAAACAAAGACCATGCAGGTCAGGTAGTTTAAACGGTAGGTTACAAATAATTAATTGGTCATTAATTAATTAATTATTCATAATCGAAAATCGAATCGTGCCTTAAGAATCGAAAATGTAATCGAATCGAGGATTTGAAGGATCGTGACACCCTTAATTATTATTGATGTATTATCACTCTAAGCTGTCAATCGAATACATAGCAACAAAACAGACAAACCTAGCAACCATTTAACAACAGCAATATTTTAGCATCAGAACATCGTAAAGACACTGGGATTGGCTCGTTTGGCTCATGCTAGCCAATGGGACTTACTGTATGTTACACATGCTAGCAGTGATTAGCTACATGCTAATAATGATTATCTAAGTGCTATAACATGCTAGAAATGCATGCTAAGTAATGAGATTTAATCAAACGTGTAAATGAAGCTTGACTAGTAACTAACCAGCATACCCTAGCAACCACTTAGAACACAATAGCAACCACCTAGCAACGGCTAGACATTAGGGTTGATTTATATCATTCATATTGACAAGAAGATTTCCTGTATCACCACTCTAAGCTGTCAATCGATGCATAGCAACAAAACAGCCTAACCTAGCAACCATTTAACAACAGCGATATCTCAGCATCAGAGTATTGTAGAGACATAGGGATTGGCTTTTTTGGCTTATGCTAGCAAACAGGACTTCCTGTATGTCACACATGCTAGCAGTGATTAGCTGCATGCTAATAATCTTTCGCTGAGTCTATAACATGCAGGAAATGTTTAAGATTTCATCAAACCTGTAAATGAGGCTTGCCTAGTAACAACCCAGCACACCCTGGCAATCACTCAGAACACCATAGCAACCACCTAGCAACGCCTAGATATCATGGTTAATTTCTATCACTCATGTTGGCAAGAAGCTTTGATGTATCACCACTTAAGGCTGCCAATAGACTCATAGCAACAAATCAGATGAACCTAGCAACCATTTAACAACAGTGATATCTCAGCATCAGAGCATTTTAGTGACACATGGATTGGCTTGTTTGACTCATGCTAGCAAACAGGGCTTCTTGTGTTACACATGCTAGCAGTGATTAGCTCCATGCTAATAATGGTTAGATAAGTTCTGTAACCTGCTAGAAATGCTTGCTAAGTATTAAGATTTGATCAAACGTGTAAATGAGGTTTGGCTAGTAACAACCCAGGGTACCCTTACAACTGCCTAGCAACACATATCTTTCCAATTGGCAAAAAGTTTTAATTTATCATCGCTCTAAATTGTCAATCAACGCATAGCAACAAAAAAGTCTAACCTAGCAACCATTTAACAACACCGTTATCTCAGCATCAGAACATTGTAGAGACACAGGGATTGGCTCTTTTGGCTCATGCTAGCAAACGGGACGTCCTGTATGATAAACATGCTAGCAGTGATTAGCTCCATGCTAATAATGATTAGCTAATTGTTCTAAAACGCTAGAAAAGTTTTGATTAAACATGCGCTTGCCTAATAATAATCCAGAGTATCCTAGCAACTGCCCAGCAACACCCTAGCCACCCCTAGCAGTAAATTAGCAACACCCTAGCAACCACTTAGCAACCGCTGTGCTTCCTGTCAGCTGCCTTTGAGTCCCAGTGCAGTCAAGTTGGCTTTCTCAAGCCATCAAAGTTTACTTTAGCTTCTAGTTTACTCATGTTGTAGACTTGAGTGTGTCAACAGTAATTTTTTTTAGCTTGTGTGGTATTTAAAACCACTTGTTCCAGTTTCATTCATCATTTTCCACAATGAGTCATAAAATCTTCTGACTGCACATCAAAATCAGATAATTCAGTATGCAAATGTGGGTATTTTGACCAGAAGTTTGTTTGTTTGTGTGTTTCAGGGGGAATGTAGGTCTGTCGGCGGTCTGTGCGTATAACATGAGCTCAGTGCATGAGGTTTTCTCCAGAGGAAAGTACATGCAGAAGGTCACGGTTGAACAGTCCCACACAAAGTGGGTCCGCTTTAATGGAGCGCCGCCCAGTCCCAGACCTGGAGCGGTGAGTGTTTCTCCAAAACATGGCTTTGTGGTGTGTTTAGGTGTCAAGATTAGATTAGAGGAGGAGAGAAGGATTAGTCATGTAAATAAAAAGTTGAAAATATTTAAATAATTATATAGTAGATAAATGGAGGGGGGGGGGGGTCACCATATATCAAATTGAGTTACTATATATTAAGAAATGTAAATATTTCATTGAAATCAATTACAGTTTAAAATTAATAATAACATTTGTTGAAATTATTAGATGTGAAAACAATAATTTAATTAGTATTATATTTAATAAAATAACTTTTATAGAAAAAAAAGTACAAATTTTGTTTATTAAATGTATATATAAAAACATAAAATACAACTAAATAAACTAAATTATATTATAATAATTATAATGCATATATATGAGTTTGGTCTGATAGTTTTGAACGGATAGATAGTCAGATGGATGGACAGACAGATGGATAGAAGGATAGATAGACGGACAGATAGACGGACAGCCGGATAGAAGTATAGATGGAGTCAGAGTAAGTATAGACCGATAGACAGACGGACGGACGGACGGACGGACAGACAGACAGACAGACAGACAGATAGATAGATAGATATACAGATGGATAGAAGATAAGATAGATGGACATGGGTAGATAGACGGATATATAGAAGGATAGAAAGACAGACAGATGGACGGATAGATATATAGACGGATGAACGAATAGATAAAGGATAGACAGATGGAGATATAGAAAGATAAATAGACAGATGGATAGAAGGATAGACAGATGGACAGATAGATAGACAGACAGACGGATAGAAAGACGGATGCATAGATGGAAAGAGACAGATGGAAAGACAGACAGACAGGCAGACAGGTAGATAGTATACATAGACACAAGGACAGATAGAAGGATAGACAGATGGACAGAGGGATAGATTGATAGATAGATGGAAAGAAAGATGGATGGACGGACAGACAGACAGACAGATGGATGGATAGAAGGATAGATAGACGTAAAGACAGACAGATTGATTCATTCATATTCCTTAATCAGCCAGGCAGTCAGCTTTCTGAATCATTCATTTCTTTGTGTTTCAGTGCATCAATAACATGAACCGTCAGCAGAACATGAGCTCGTCTCTTCATCTGCCTGATAAGACGCTTCAGTTTGTGAGGGATCATCCGCTGCTGGAGGACCCGGTGCTGCCCATAGGAAACGGCCCTCGCCTCATCACTAAAGATGTGAACTACACACAGATCGCCGTGCAGAGGGTGCAAGCGCTCGACAACAGCATACACCACGTCATTTTCACAGCCACCGGTCAGTCACTTTCCATAATATTTGACTAGATATTTGTCAAGACACTAGTGTTCAGCTTAAAGTGACATTCAAAGGCTTAACTAGGTTCATAAGGGTAAAGTTAGTGTAATTAGGCAAATCATTGTATAACAGTGCTTTGTTCTGTGGACAATCCAAATATAGCTTAAGGGGGCTAATAATATTGACCTTAAAATGCTTTTAAAACTGCTTTTATTCTAGACAAAATAAAAAATATTAACAAATTAATAATAATATCAGAAATACTGTGAAAAATTCCTGAATCTCTTAAACATCATTTGAAAAAATATTGAAAGAGGAAGAAAAAAGTTATACAAAAAATGATAAAACTGTATATAGATACACTAACACAAGCAAGAAACAACTGGGGTTGAACCTAAGATCCAGGAGAAACAATGCGGTTTTCGTCCAGGCCGTGGCACCCTGGACCAGCTCTATACCCTCACCAGCGTGCTCGAGGGTTCATGGGAGTATTCCCAACCAGCCCAAATCGGTTTTGTGGACTTGGAGAAGGCATTCGAGCGTGTCCCTCGTGGCATTCTGTGGAGGGGGCTCTGGGAGTACGGAGTCAGAGGCGCTCTTTTAAATGCCGTTTTGTCCTTGTATGAACAGAGTAGGAGTTTGGGTCGCATTGCCAGCAATAAGTCAGACTTGTTTCCAGTGCATGTTGGACTCCAGTCACTCGGTCACCAGTTCTGTTCATCATTTTTATGGACAAAATTTCAAAGCGCAGTCTTGGGCTGGAGGAGTCCGGTTCTTCAGCAAATTCTCCAGCATGATAGCGCTCTTTCTAATACTTCAGCCTCCTCATCAAAGTTCCTGAACGCAAAGAAGGTCAAGGTGTTTCGATATTGGCCAGCCCAGTCGCCAGATATGAACATTATTGAGCATGTCTGAGGTAAGATGGAGGAGGCATTAAAGATAAATCCAAAGAATCTTGATGTACTCAGGGAGTCCTGCAGGATCGCTTTCTTCACCATTCCAGATGACTTTATTAATCAGTGATGTGAGTCAGTGCAGAGATGTATGGATGCAGTCCTCCAAGCTCATGATGGAGTCAGACACAATATTCATTCTGTCTCCACTGCAGCAGGACTTTATATTCTATACTGGACATAGGGTTGTAACAATATACCGGTATGACGGTTTACCACGATTTGAACGTGCACGATTATCATACCATGAACAATTGCATATCAACGGTTTTAACCCTTAAAGACCGAGACAGCCGCCTGCGGCTAAAAATAAGTATTGCTCTTAAATGTTTAATAACTTTTGATCCGCTGATCAGATTCATACAATTCAAAGATTGGCATAAAGAAGAGAATCTCAGCTTTCCAGTGCTGTATCACATACTTTCAGAGGCTCCGGAATCAGTGCGGTTACGTCATCAAAATTTGACAACGCTGATTTGACAAAGAAACGCTCGTCACTGTGTCTCCGGACAAATCAGACATGATACATTGATGCATTGTCCCTCCTCCATGCCCAGATTGGTTCAAACTCGCTATATCACAACCAATAAGCATAGGTTTCGCTTTTGTTTGTGGACCAAGCTTTTTGAACAACACGGAATGAGAGATAGGCATACATTTCTGCGCGGCTAAATAAAATGCAAAAAAAAAAAGTTTTGCATGAAATAATTCTCATACTAAGTACTTTTGCATGCACAGCAGCACAGAAACATGACAAAACAGTGACACAGCAAAGACGAACTGCTGCTCTTGCTGTTTTCAAAAGACGCAAATGAAGGTGCAGCTGTTTATCTGCATTGCAGACAACCATATCCAAATCCATATCCACAGACAACCATATCCATGCTGGCACATAAAACCTAAGGATGTTCCATATTGAATCTAGTTTCGTTATGTAACTATTTATAGTATAGTAAATATTTATATCTATTTTTTACTGAGGATTTGCACCATGTTTATTTGGACTTTATTTGGACTTTGACACATTATTTATTATTTTCTTATTTTTTTATTTGTTCATTGTAAGTGGTGTTGTTTATAGTAACTGAAAATATATTATTTGGAAAAAGTCAAATTTGCTTCACTGTTCTATTATTTTGTAACATTTGTAACATACCGTATACCGCGAAACCGTCAAACCGTGGTATTGTTTTAGACGATTATCATACCGTGAAAAATTCATACCGTTACAACCCTAACTGGACATTATTTCTGTTCAGTGAAGAGACTTTACTGTTCTAATTAAATTATTAAAATCAATACATGATCATATTTTATTGTGGCCTTTCATATAAGACACTTCTCATACCAGATGATCAATTAGAATTATAACTAGTTATTATTTGTTTCTCCTAAAACTTGGATAGCCGACAAGACTTTTGTCAGGTAGTGTTCTGTATGTGTGTGTGTGTGTGTGTGTGTGTGTGTGTGTGTGTGTGTGTGTGTGTGTGTGTGTGTGTGTGTGTGTGTGTGTGTGTGTGTGTGTGTGTGTTTAAACAAAAATTATGATTATGCCTCCATAAAAGTATTTCTGAACAAATTTCCATATAATTGTATATCAGAGAGAGTTCTGTGAACTTAGAGTCTGCAAATGTCTTAAATCATTGGAAATGTACTATAAAATCTGAAAAGATGCTCTATAACAAGGTTTAATGGAGTGTTTTATTCGTGCTCTGACTGTGTTGTCGGTGTGTGTTCTCAGATAAAGGTTTCCTGCATAAGTCAGTGGTGTTGGAGAATGAGGTTCACACGGTGGAGGAGGTTCAGCTGCTGAAGAACTCAGAGCCCATCAAAACACTCCTGCTCTCCACAGACCAGGTACAAAACCCAGAAACACTTCATCTTCTCTTCTAGCAGAGCGTCTGAACACTGCTGAATCATGGGAAATCAGATCCAGAGGAACCAGCTTTATTCACTGTGATTTCACAGCAGGAGGGAAGTTTCCATTTGATGGTGACACACAGTCTGACAGAGTCTGCTCCAGTTTCTTCTTTCTCACACATCAAGGCACACACACACACACACACACACACACGCACAGATACACACATATATTACAGACACACATGGATTGTTCTGAACTGTTTGATTCACTCTTTCAGACTCAGGATTGTTCTGAACTGTTTGATTCATTCATTGAGACTCAGGATTTTTATGAACTGTTTGATTCACTCATTCAGACTCAGGATTGTTCTGAACTGTTTGATTCACTCATTCAGACTCAGGATTGTTCTGAACTGTTTGATTCTCTTATTCAGACTTAGGATTGTTCTGAACTGTTTGATTCACTTATTCAGACTCAATATTGTTCTGAACTGTTTGATTCACTCATTCAGACTCATGATTGTTCTAAACTGTTTGATTCACTCATTCAGACTTAGGATTGCTCTGAACTGTTTGATCCACTTATTCAGACTGAGAATTGTTCTGAGCTGTTTGATTCACTCATTCAGACTAAATATTGTTCCGAACTGTTTGATTCACTTATTCAGACTTAGCATTGTTTTGAACTGTGTGATTGACTTATTTAGACTCAGGATTGTTCTGAACTGTTTGATTCACTCTTTAAGATTCATTGTTGTTCTGAACTGTTTGATTCATTCTTTCATATTTAGGATCATTTGAATCATTTGAACTGTTTGATTCTCTCTTTCATGGTCAGGATTGTTCTGAACGGTTTGATTCACTCTTTAAGACTCATTGTTGTTCTGAACTGTTTGATTCATTCTTTAAGATTTAGGATCATTTGAATCATTTCAACTATTTGATTCTCTCTTTCACGGTCAGAATTGTTCTGAACGGTTTGAGTCTCTCTGTCTCTCAGGCTCAGTTTCTGTATGCGGGTTCAGACTCAGGAGTGGTTCAGTCACCCACAGCGTTCTGTCAGAAATACGGCTCCTGTGTGGACTGTGTTCTGGCCCGGGACCCATACTGCGCCTGGGACACTCAATCCAAAGCCTGTGTGAACATCTTCCAGAGCAAAGCTGATCCACGGTGAGACATCAACATTAACCACAGACTGTCTGTCTCCATGATTTCTCATATATTTACAGATGATCATATCACATGCATTCTCATTGTTGTTCATTTGGTTTTTCTGGAATATTTTACTCCCGATCAGTTAGCATTATCTCCTTCAGGCAGATGATTACTCTGTGTTATGTTTGTTTTTGCAGTAAGATGATTCAGAACCTCAAAGGGGATGCTGGGATATGTCCTCCAGGTGTGTAATTGTGTAAATGTTACTTGTATTCAATACACTTACTTGAGTTACATGAGTGAACTGCAGTGGAAGAGACTAACAACAACACATGAACTTTTAAAACAACACAATACTGAAGTTTTCATTTAATTTTAAATCCATATTCGCTGGAATAACCCTGATTATCTACTCCATTATCTTACCAACTGTCATAAAAAATAAATGGTGTAATTCTATTAATAAAAATAAATGATATGGTTAAAACATAAGTAAATAAGCAAATAGGTAAGTGAGTAAATATGTATGTAAATATATAAATAAATATGCAAATGAAATGTAAATAAATATGTAAATAAATAATTTGTAAATATGTATGTAAAAACATATGTAAATAAATATGTAAGTATATATGTACATAAAATAATAATTTATGTAAATTTGTAAGTAAATATGTAATTCAAATAAAAATGAATAAATATGTAAATAAGTGAAGATGTAAATAAAATAATAAGTAAATATGTAAATAAAATTGTAAGTAAAATAATAAGTAAATAAACATGTAAATAAGTGAATATGTAAATAAAATATTAAACAAAGTAATTATGTAAATAAATATGTAATTAAATTATTAGGTAGATAAATATAGAAAAAAGTGAATATGTAAATAAAATAATGAGTACATATGTAAATACATAAGAGAATGAGTAAATAAGTAAATAAATATGTAAATACATATCTAAATACGTATGTAAATAAGTAAATAAATATGGAAGTAAATATATAAATATGTAAATAAATAATATGTAAATATGTAAGTAAATATGTCATTTAAATAATAAGTCAATAAATATGTAAATAAGTGAATATGTATTTAAAATAATAAAAAATTTAAATAAATAAGAGAATAAGTAATATGTATTTAAATCAGTAATTAAATATGCAAATACATATCTCAATAAATAAATAAATACATAAATACATATCTAAATAAATATGTTAAAAAAGTAAATAAATATGTAAATACATATGTACATAAGTAAATTTGTAAATAGATATGTAAATAAGTGAATATGTAAAAAAATGCATAAATATGTAAATGAATATGTAAATATATCAACATTAAGTAAATGAATAAAAAAGTAAACATGTAAATAAAATAACAGATAATTTGTAAATATGTATGTAGATATGTAATTAAAATAAAGGGTAAATAAATATGTAAATAAGTGTATATGTAAATAAAATTTAAAATAATAAGTAAATATGTCAATAAATAACAGAATAAGAAAATAAGTAATGTGTATGTAAATAAATATGTAAATACAAATCTAAATATGTAAATAAATATGCAAATACATACATAAATAAGTGAATATGTAAGTAAATACGTAAATAAAATAACAGATATGCAAATGAATATGTAAATATATATCAATATTAAGTGAATCAGTAAATAAGTAAATAAATGATTAAATATATTTTTCTGTTGCTCAGTAGAAGGTTTGGAATATCTTGATATAGCCTGAATCGTCTCTTTAATTCTGAAAGTTGTCTGTCTCTCAGTGTCTCCTCTGGCAGTGAAGGATTATCCGCTGCTGTTGGTGAAGCCGGGTGCTTCAGCTGACCTGCCGTGTCGAGTTCAGTCAAACCGAGCTCAGGTCTTGTGGAAACTCAACAATCAGCTTCTCAGCGACTCCTCTTCACGCCTCCTCCTGATGTCCGAGAGCAGTTTACTGCTGTACAGCGTGACTATGGAGGACGCGGGACGCTACGAATGCTGGTCCGTCGAGTCCGCCGCGGGACAAAACTTCAGCCGTGTGGTGTCCGGATACATTCTGCGCTTAGACCTTCCCGAGAGCAAATCTGCACAGCTGACCCGCGAGCCCACTACGACCTCAGAAGGTAATAGTGTTAATAATAATAACAGCCCGGTGACGCCTGGACTAACGTCAGCGCCTACAGATGCCCCGTCACTAACAACTCCACCAACCTCTGCTATTAAACCCAAATCCAACATCCCTCCAGAGGTCAGTAACTCGCCCGCACGCACTGAAACGATAGATCCTTCTGCCAAATACATCCAGCATGATAACAGCGCCGCCCTGCTGGCTCTGTTCCTGCTGTTCTTCCTGCTGTTTCTGGCCGCGCTCCTGTATAACTGCTACATGCAGTATCTGCCGGCTCCGTGTCTACGGCTGCGCTCCGCTCTGCTCGGATCCAGTAAAAAACCGCAGGCCGAATACGCTGCATGCGAAGCCGGTCTGATGGAGAAAACTGATCCAGCCAATCAGATCGCTGCTCATCCGCTCCGTGCACTCAGAGACACTGGATATGAAACGGAGCCGGAGGCGGAATTAGGAAACGGCGCTGTTCGGTCTAATAGTTTCGATGAGAGTCCGTGTAAAGATCGACCGTTTGATATCGACTGTGCTTCACAGCCTATTGAGTTTGCAGATGCAGATGCAGACGCTCCGTGATGATGATGCAAACACTTTAATAACCGCATTCCAAATTGGAAACATTCCATACCAAATTGGTACGTTTGAGTGTCGTTTTTGGAATTTGGAATTCCGGGTTGTTTTTGAATGTTCTTCACGATCGTTTAAAGTGTGTATTTCCTCCGTGTTTTTGGCCTCGTTTCAAAGTAAACTCCCTTGAGTTCGATACACATTCAGCTTGGAAGCAAAACTGGTTTGGATTTTAAATCTTACAGTACGTTGTTTATGCTAAATATTGTATTTATGTATTTATTTGTTTTGCATTTTGGGTTGAAATGTCAAGACACTTTTTTATGTTTTATTTTTTTTTGCATAAAGATGACAATTTTAGGAGCATTTTTCTATTATTTTGTCCATTTGGATATGATTTCAGTCATGGTTCATGATTTTGATGCATATTAACCCTTGTGCGCTGTTTAAATGTACTGCCCTTTAGTCATGTTCAGGATGAAAACATTAAACATTAATTAAAAATGCATCATATTAATCATTTTTTTCTCATTGTTTTGCATAAATCTGTTTATCAGCCTCAGTCGTGATCAAAACTACTAAATCGTTTAGAAAATGACAGGATATTAACTCTTTAATTGGCAAATTCACTAATGATTTGGTGTAAAAACACACACACAATGACGTATTTTCAGTATAAAAGAAATCGTGGACTGGATTTTTTGTTTACGTTTTACCACAGTCTTGGACATGTGAATGATTAGGAACAACATTGGCTTTGTCGCATTGTTAGTCTTAATTTTGTCTCCCTGATTTACTGCTGGTGACTGTTTGTGCCCCATTGATTTCCATTATAAGCACATTTGATGGTGCATAAATGCACAGTCTTTGTTTTTGTTTACTCCATG